CAAACTCTCTAATATAAAAGCCTTAGAGTTTTGAAAGTTGGGTATTTTATTTCGGTCTTTAGGTGTCTTGCACCATATTGATGATATCACAAGAAACACGAGACTCTCTTCAAGGTGTTGCAGCTATACTTCAAGAATTTTATTCGTTAGAAACAATTGTTACACCACAACAATGAAATATTAATATTGGTTTTTTAAATTTATCAAATGGGAAGTTTTGTCTTTTTTATGCACAATCATCAACTCTGTAATGATAATAATAAATAATAATTTGCATGATTATTTTGTGTGACTTTTACTTTAAAACTGACAGGAATGTGATTGTTCATGAAAAAAGATCACCATATAACTCCATAACCATATCCTTCTTGTCTTTATGCATGATAGTTGTTTTGCTGTATTAGTATATGTAGTCACTTTCATATAAAGCACACCAGACATTAGGTTGCAAGGTTTAGCATCAGGCCTCAGAGAATAGTAATAGTGGTGAAAATCAATAATAACAATGGCCCAGCATGAGAGAGGAATCTGCCCATACCTTCCACTTACACTTAGGTTAGAGTGCTCTACATGGCATGGTCACCCATTCTCTGTTATCTGTCCCTCTTGCATCAATTCTACTCCCCACTTGAGACCACCATTGATGTAGAAATCTAGAAAGTCAGATGAACCAAACACTTGCCTGATGTTGGGGCTGATGGTGTTGTGATACAAGGCTGAACATGCTGTGAATAGCCATTCTTTCTGCCATCCATCCCTTTTGAGCAACTGTGTCTACTTTCTGCCCATGGCTCAGAGATTTTTGTAGCTCTGATGCTTTCATGTGTTCAATACTAAGGTGTAAGAATTCTTCAAAGGAATTACTGTTTGAGTCTTTGAGAACAAGATGCAAAGTGTACAAATATTGCCCTAAGTAAGTTGGAACAAGTGGTGCAGCAAATTGGTGGTGACCTCCTTCTTCATTAGGGATCAAGCCAGTCTGCTTGAACTTTTCCAAAGCAACTTTTACTTGTTCAGCTATTATATTCAGTCCAAAAATTGTGTCAGAGCATGTGCTGTCATACACAATCCTCAGAAATTTGACATCATCTGGTGTTGGATTCCAATCATTCAGCCAGTCAAATACTAATACACATTAACATGTCATTAATCATATGCATTGTATTAAAGTATTCAACTGAAATTAAAAAATTACACACATTAAAGATCTCTGATGCTGATATTCTGCCTGCAAAAATTCCAGACTTTGCTGAACTAGTACTAGGTGCAGATGTTAATGTCCAAAAGTTGCATTATAGACAGCTGTAGATACCTCTTCTGGAATGACAAAAGGTTCTTCATTATCATCCTTCTCTTGAATGTGGGTTATATAATTTTTCATTATTTCCTGAAATTCAGATGGTGTCAAACACAATATCTCCAATCCTTGAGCATGAATGAAGTCTACTGGCATTGTCTTGATAGGCTAGAATCAGGTGCATGTGGTGGGTGACCCTCATACATGCTTAGGAGTAGTATATTAATATATAAGTTTAGGCTGTCCTTATGGTGGTCAACTAACACTTGTACATTTTGTAAGCTCTATTTATATTACTATTACTATTACTACATACTACTACTAGTCATACAAAATGTTTAGTTAGCAAGCAATGTTTGTTCAGGGTTTGTTTTATGATCAGCATAATAATAATAACAAAACAAATACATAAGATTAGTAGAGAATACACAAGTAACAGTATATTAATATAGTAATTAGACAAGTGTTATTTACCAAATTTTTACAAGAGATTTATTTATGTATATCAATATTAATATGTATGCTCTATTAATTTCATGCATTTGTTTGATTTTATTATGTAAATTTAAAACATAAAAATAAAAAGCATACTAATACAAACTTTGAAACATTTGTTTTGCTATCTATGACTTTAGAATGATAGAGCTTAACTATTACTATTAACAAGATGTACAAGTTTATTTATCATCACAATTACTATTGTCATATCGCTATCTAAAAGAAAATTCATGTTGATAAGTACAACTTTATTGCTGAACTAATAGTAATAACATGGTGGTGAGTATAAGTACTGATATTGTTTCTCACGAGTGTTTCTACAGCTTTGCGACGTTAACGCCTTATGTCCCTCGAACCAAAGTTTCGCCTCGTCTGGCGAGATATCGACACCTGTTATCACATTCGACGTCTCTTTTGTGCAAGAGTGGGAGGGCTAATTGGCAGTCCCGTAGAAATAGACGACGTCTTTTGGTGTCATCGAAGCAACATAACATGGATCTTCGACATCGACTGCGATAGCGGATGAGTCGTCTCCAGATAAAACATAAACACTGTTATCACTGAAATATACCATCGAGAGGTCGGGTTCTATTTTGATACAGATAATTTCAGGAATGTGTGTTGTGTTATATTCATTAGTTTTTGTTTTTTTATGGTAGTGAGTCCATCCCTTGTCGGGTTTGAACGTTTTATCTCTTGACGTTGTGGATGGATAGAAAGGAAAAAGTGAAGTTGAATGTCGAACGTGGGATTTAAGCGGATATCCAATCACGTTGCAATGGGAGGATGGCCAATAATATTGTTCATACAAATCTGCTGTGCTCTGAGTAAATCGTCCGATATAACTAACAAACATATACTAATGCGTGAAGGCTGTAAGGGGTGAGGAAAGAAAACCTTTTTATAAAAGATTAAATCACGTGACGTTTATACAATGGAAATACAGAATAAAAACGTGCGACAATTAATAGGTCCCCTCATGGCCAGAGTCCACTGTACTTTCGTTTTTACTTGTTTTGATTTAGGATTTCTATTCCGACTACAAATTCAGTTCGAGTGTAGCTTGATAACTGATGACTTCTCCGATACGAATTTCCAAAGACAGGATGCTTTATTAAAAAAAGGAAGAATTTTTTGTTGTGTTAAGAATATTAATAATATTAAGGAATTCATATGAAGTTTTATATATTCTGTCAGACGATATATATAGCATTTGTCTGTTCAATTAAATTTTGATGCGTATAATTTGTCTTATGGTGTCTTAAATATATAATAATGTCAGCCGCAGTATATTAGTGAAGGTGATGAAAAAGTTTCCACACCGGAATGGTACAAAGCAACGGAATTCAGAAATTCGTTATTTGTGAAGGCTTAATACGTGTGGGTGGTAGGTAGTGTCTGTTTAATTATCAAATTATCCATAGTTAACACATGAGTATATATCCAGAGACGTAATATCGAAGCATATTTTTTTAATGTGTAAACGTGAAATTACACGTGATACTCACAATATTGATTGAAAATGCAAGCTTGCATTTATGAAGTTTCGTATAATAAGGCAGAGTTTACCCGGTAATTTTAGCGTAAAGAAAATATTACTCCTTGGGCAACAAATTACCTGCACTACGTGGTATCTTCTACCAATGTACTTTTTTTTCACGTTAAATTATCGTGTATAGTGAACACGTATCCATTCTTGCGCAACCATGGGTAGTCCTAACATTAAGCCAGCCAAGAATGAAGCATTCATGGGATTGGTGATTTTGCACTCTCCACCGACAGTAAACATTGTTAAGCACGTTGTCTAAATATCACACATCTATTTCAGAACATTTAACTATATCATCTTTCGTCATGTATTAAAAAATTTTAGAGCTTGTCTTGTTCTTCCAATCCAATACATGATATCCTTCGTTTTTCTGTAAAAGATATCTGCATGGAAGATCTGCACGAATGGTCATCCATTAAGAGTTCGGCTATATATAATTTCGTTAGAAATGGCCATTGGGAGTCGCGATGTACAAGCTGGGCCAACTTACTAGTTTTCGAGCGGCATACAGCTCAATCACTTTATATATTTATATGAAATAATATATTTCACATATCTCAGTCTAACATGCTCTCTACGTATACTTAAATAGACACAACTATTTTTCATGATGTCATGGAAAAAAGGGAGCTCTCATGACTATTTTCATCATATGGCGAGTGCACTATATAATAGACGATTGAGTTTTCTATTCGAGTCCATTAATTACAACCTCGGACTCCGTCTACGTTCATCCTGCATTTTCAATTGTTGTATTCTCTCATAGACCTCGTCATCGACAAAGAGATCAGGTAGAAAGTCTGTTGTTCCTGGGACAGTGGCATAATGATCAAACTCTGTTTGACCATGTTCTCTAAGGACAAGTTCGTCTATGTGGAATTTACCCCTAATAATAAAATTATATTTTTTGCAAATATTTCATCAATGTCATCTTATGCCACGAGATGGTCTCATACAAAAAACTTACGTATACGTCTGAGCATCTTGGATGAGCACGACGTGTGCAGCATCTGCCATGATATCCGTTTTACGTGCCTTGGCCACAATTGATTTATCTTTGAGGAAAAATAAATAATCAGTAAAATCCGTATTTACGTTCCAATTCGAATCTGAGAAGCTAATTATATTCGCAACATTTACCAATTATGTTCAGCGCAGCAGTGTCGATTGCCGTGAGAGGCCATAACGCTAGTTGTAATCAAGAAATCATTAAAATATACAATAACAACTAATTGATCAATGTTTTTGGTTTTCTCCATAATTACCATTTGCAGCAATTCCATACTTCTTGAGTTCTCCGGACCATCCAAGAATAGCCATAGACATGCCGAATTTGGACATAGTATAGGCAACATGAGGGGAAAACCTATCACCAAGGATTGAAAAGTTAGTCAAACAACCGGTCAACGGAACTCCTGTTATTTTAGTCCAATTGATACTTCACCATTTTTGTTTCATCGATAATGGGGGACTGATTGCCATTACATGTGGATTTCTACTCTTCTGTGCACTTTCAATAAGATGAGGTATCGCATACTAGAGACCATAATGGAGAACGTTGATATGGACAAGAAAAATTTTATACATAAAACAATGTTACGAAATGTAAGAAGTTTAGGTTATAACCTTTGTAACTAGCCAAGTACCACGAGCATTGATTTCATTCATCAAATTGTATCTCTTCAATGGAGTATGTTCAGTATCAGTAAGAGAAATTGCTGACGCTACAGAAGCGCAAAAAAAGTTTAGTTCGTAAAGTGGTAAGAGTACGAACACATAATGCACGATAATATATAGTCGCTTTTTCATTCAAACTCGATTACCATTATTAACCACAATATCAATCCCACCAAAAGTCTGCACTGTCTTGTTAATTGCTGTTTTCACAGCCTCTTCGTCACGGATATCACAGACAAGAGGAAGCGCTGTGAGAGGTTGAATAAAGATCAAAACGATCTAGTGAATGAATTGAGAGTTTCTAGATAAAATGCTTAACGATAATAACAAAACCTTTTCCTCCAGCCTTTTCAATTTCTTTGGCAGCAGTATAAACCGTTCCAGGGAGCTATGATAGATAAGTAGATTTTTAGGTAGAATTGATTATTTTCCAGTATTAAAAGTTTACGAACGCTAACCAACCAGCTCGATAAGATGGTGGTACCTACCACTGGATTGGGTTCCGCCGTCTTAGCGGCAACTGCTATTTTGGCACCGTCCTAACATAGTCTCAACCAGATTAACAAGTGCTTTTAGCAGCAAGGTTTTGCGACGCAACATATATTACCTTTGCAGCACGCAAAGCAATAGCCAGTCCAATGCCCCTATACATAACCCATACTACATTAAAATACTTTTATTTCTTATTAATGCTGGTTCTGATTATCAATTATTGTTCACCTGGATGCTCCCGTAATGAATAATACTTTATCCTTGAGCGACATGGCTGTAATTTTTGCGTAATAGTAAAGCGTACTGTATACTCTGGACAGGGATTATAAGAATTTTCACAATGTGTAACCATCAATTGGTTACATCGAGTGACGTTTCGCGCGTCGTGTTATTTGTCTTTGCATCCACGCTCGTAGATTTTCAGGGATATCATGCAAGGTTGATCATGTTTATTATACTAGATCATATTACAACATCCCCAAGGCCCATGCCAGTAATTACTGTAAAACCGTTACTAAACTAACTATGAACGCGTTATGCAGATTAATAATATTAATGCAAATAGTGGTTTGTCTATCAATCATAATCAAAGAAACACTATGAATATGAAATAAATTGTTTACACAGTCACTACAAAATTGACAATATTAAAGTAAGACACATAAAATAAATTTAAACCATGAAGAGGAATGTGTTTTGTTGAGAGTGTCCTTCATTTCTTTTAGCGTGGTGCTGCGTAACAAATAAATACACGAATGTTGAGTAAAAGTTAATTCTCACTGTAGAATTTTGTTAGCACAAGTGTTTGTCATCTTCTCGCACAATACCGTATACGAGTGTGCATAGTGCTACCCTATTTCGATTTTTACAAGCAAGTCAAAATATGCAGTAATGCTTTCTCGGTTAACGATTTTATGTATTCAATTAGCTTGCCATTCATTAGTTATAACGATAACGTAATACCTGCAATTCTGTTCATCACTTTCGATTAAGTAGCAATGTATTATATTGTATAATTTTTATACAATGACTCGATATCAACAAGTGAACGTCGCTATCATATGAATAATCGATAAGAAAAAAATTAGCAAAATCAATTTCGAAATTTTCAATTGCATGCCATTAACCTGCCCCTGTATAGGTAAATTATAATTTACAATCTCACTGCTGCCACAGCTCTGCGTAAACTAAAACGTACATTGTGTATTTATACAGACAGCAAACGTATCAAGATTTTTATTAACATGACGTATATTGACTACTAGCTATGACTTATAATTCCGCAAAAAATTATAAATTACGAAATAAATTATTTTAATATGCATATCGTTGCGTTGTGATTACTTCTTGCTCTTCGTATTGCCCATAATCTTGTTTTTGAACTAGATAAGCTAAAATCTGGTGATAGGGAAATTTTTTAGTCGTTGCTCGGTTTAGGATTAGTTTGAAATAATAGTAGGCAGAAAGTTGATATCAAAAAAAGTTTATATCATTATTGTCATTGTGTATTAACCCGGGTATTTATTTTCATACACCACAAGAAATCTCAGTGTGAGGAGATTATGTTTAAATTAATCTATTGCAGTTACTAATTTCCGTAATAAATAGAACAGAAAATATGTTAGGAAATATTATTTATGCTGTACTGCTGCTAAATCCCAAAGAAGTTACACGATCGCTTTCCCACGTGTAGCGTCACGACACAATTCATTGTCATGCTGGAATCTCCAAGAACTTCTGTATCTGGCATCCATTTACTTTCTGAAAACAGAGTAAGCTGGTTTTATCTCCCGGCACAAAACCTGTCTCAAGCAAGACTTTTGTTCTGCTTTTGACATAGCATAAATTTGGCAAGCACTCTTATTATTATCATTATGTCATAGTCAACATTCTATTTACTATGTTTGTCTGAAAAGCTGAAAGGCTGTCTCATCTGAAATAATTATTATGTCAGAGTCCAATTCAATTGCCATTCAAGTGAGCAGTTACCCAATCTACTCATGTTTGTTCATGGGCATTAACATTGGAGTGGTCTTTGGAGGCTTTTTACATAGTCATGATCAAGCCCTGTTGATTCATTCCTGAGATCCTCTCTCCTCAAATTGCATACATCTACCAGTGCCTTCTCTGTATTTCCTAGGTGAGACTGAGAAAGATGTGTTTTAACATGATTACATCTTGAATATTTTTGTGAATTGTGGGGGTCGTGGATGAGCTCTCAAAACATTGGAAAAAAACTTTGGATACACATGGGACGCATTGTAATCCAATTTGGACAATTTTATTGCAAGAGTTCTAGTGGGAAGTGAAAATTCTCTGTTGTACAAATTGTCTGAGTGCCAGTGATGTATGCACAGAGATTTCCCCTGTATGTTTACCGTCACCGTTCTACCGTTATTCCAATGTAATAAAGCTTGCTGCTGAGTTTCTTGCTTGGGAATACTAATACGTGTTTTGATCGGTGCAAATTAGTTTTTTTTGTAACACACACGTTACATTAATATTAATTAAAGACCTGTGCAGGCATTCCAAAACGAAGTCCTCTGGCAAATATTCATTATGATGAAGACTTTACTTCGAGGAAATCAAATATTTGTACTTATCGACTATCGACGACAAAATTTTTCTGCCCTCGTATTGTGATAATCCTCATCGTTTGCATAATATTAGCGTATTAATATACATTAGCAAAAAGTTTGGTTTCATATTTTCGTCCAACAGTTAAAATTAATTCTTCCACTCGGTCATAATTATAAAATGAAACATAGACACAAAATTACAGTCTTTTTTCCATTATTACCATTATAATTAAAAAGTTTAAATCACGTTATTTAGATTTTCCACGTGCACGATTCGGATATATTAATTTAACGTTAAATTTAATTGTTCATTCTCGAGGCGAGGAACAAATATAATGGCGATGCGCAGAATACCACGCCCGTTGCTCCATCCGCTATTCACGTCCCACGCATCTACACTCCTCCCTACACGACGCGCCTCTTTACTGGTACTCCTTGTGGTTGCTCACTTCTCCTTGAACTACGCAATAGTCCTCACACCCTTGTCTACCCTACTATAGTCACCGTTTCGTCCGACCACTGATCAAAAATCATACTATCAATATGGACCAGGACAAAGTGGAGATCAGTTATTACTAGGAGAGCTCCGATCCCAAACAAGACTGCCTCGTAACACGGTATGCCTGTCAGAGAAAGAATCGCTTTGGTGTAGGAGTTGGGCATTAACGTTTGGTGCACTCAACATTTTTGAAACTGCTTATAGTTTATAAACTTTGTGCCTCAGCAAGAAGCATGGATAATTGAGCGATTTGGCAAGGTACCAAGTTTGCGGCTTGTCAATGATCAATCTTATTGTATCTGTTCTATACGCATAATTTACCACGATTTCAGTTTGATCGTCTTCTAGAACCGGGCCTCGCAATAGTCATACCAATTGTGGAGAAAATCAAGTATGTTAAAAGTTTGAAGGAGATTTGCATGAACATTCCTGCCCAGAGCGCGATTACACAAGGTTCGTCCCTGAAGCATTTTCTAGTGATGAGATTGTAGCCGTGGTGTTGACAATCGAGGTTTTTTCGTGTAGATAACGTGACTCTTGAACTAGACGGCGTTTTATACATTAAAGTTGTCGATCCATACAAGGTTAGAGTAGTTATTTATTAGATCAATCGCGTTTTCACCTTATTGTTAACTGAAACACATTATGCTCTATTATTGAGTAGGCCTCTTATGGTGTTGAGGATGCGGAATATGCTGTTGCTCAATTAGCACAAACTACAATGCGAGCAGAAATCGGTCAGATGACACTCGATCGGACGCTGGCTGAGCGTGCTGCTCTCAATGCCAATATCGTCGAAGCAATTAATAGTGCTGCCGATGCTTGGGGAATTCGATGTTTGAGATATGAAATTCGTAAGTAAAGGATGATGCCGTTACCGATTGTTTGGGTTATTACTGTAATCATTGACCCTATCTGCTAAATTCACAGGTGATATACATCCGCCAATGAAAGTAGTAGAGTCTATGCACCAACAAGTGTCAGCTGAACGATCGAAGCGAGCATCAATTCTCGAATCCGAAGGTGCGTTGTAATAATACCATGTTGAGTTAATCTCTCTCAATTTATCCTGGCAACAGTTTACGAAACATTTAAAAACGATATTTTCAATTTCTCGCGTTTTTATCAATTTATAGGTACGCGTCAAGGAGCAATAAACGTGGCGGAAGGTAGTAAACAATCTGTAATATTAGCCTCCGAAGCAGTTCGGGCAGAACAAATCAACAAAGCATCGGGTAAGCGTCAATAGAATGTGAAAAGAATTGAATGTCTAGGAAATTTTACTAAGATATTTATCGACAATCCCTTTCTTCTATTCACTGCTCATACGCTTTTCAGGTGAAGCGGAAGCCATGTTACTTCGTGCACAAGCAACGGCTGAAAGCATACGTCGTATTGCGCTTGCTATTCGCGAGACGCCGGGGGGTTTTGACGCGGTTACGTTGACTATTGCTGAAAAATACGTCGAGGCGTTTGGGCAACTAGCCAAAACAGGCAACTCTGTCATCGTTCCTGCTGGTGTGAGCGATGCGGGATCTATGATTGCCCAGGTACGCTGACGAGAAAGAACACATGCGATTTCGGATAACGTGGAGATTGAAACTGTAAATACTGAATCATGCATTTGCGCTATTTAGGCACTGTCTATATATCGATCAGTCTCTAGACAAGGACAGGAGTACGCTAATGTAGAGCAACCCGCACAGCCACAGATCCAATCCAATGATGAACAATCACAGAGACAGTGATATTGCTTGTATATGACTTGCAATATTACTGGGTAATAGAAAAGGAATTGCAAACAAAAATAAAACAGTTATAAACGAGTGTAGAAACCCTTTCACCCTTTGTGGATACTCTTCTGGTAATTGAGATTCTTTCGAAGTTCTTTTTATCAAAATATAAATATCAAAGTCAGCTCTTGTAGATTGTGCTATTAGTAGCCTCTTGAACTACCTCCTTACTTCCCATCCCGTATCAAATTTCATTCACATAACTATACAATATTGGCTAAATAATCTTTAATTTCCTCCGGTGTCAACTTTTTGAAGACTGGTTCTTCTTTCCCCGGACCAAACCCGAAATTTCCTCCTCCGATTACTCCAATTTCGATCGAGTGTTCATTCATTTCACCCTCAAATCCTTCCTTCAGAGTAATAATGGCTGTATGTACTGCATCCTCGAGTTCCATGTCGTCGTTGTAACTTTCAATTATTAAGGATATGCAAATTTGCGGACGTTCGTGAATGCAAAAGAAGCGTTGGATAAGTTTAAGTTGATAAAGTTATGTCAAATATAACAAAAAAAAAAACAAAAAAAACGGTCAGACCATAGATGTCCAAAGTTGATGGTCTTTCGTAACTCACCGCTTCTCAAGAAACGTCTTTGCATTAACCATATTCTTCCCAATTGCGGATGCTTTCCAGGCCCAATATGATCCTGATGGATCCACTTGATACAACCCAGGACCCTTCTCATCATATCCACAGATTAATAACGATACACCAAATGGACGAACACCGCTAGAGCAGCAAAATTATATCAATAGGCATCGAACAATTACGTGAATATGTATCTCGAAACGTTACACCTGCTCATTCTGTCATCTAATTTCACTGATATTCTCCACACAATCCAAACCATACTCACCCACTCTGTGTAAACTCTTGCATGACACTAGCAACCTCCTTGACCAAAATCCCAGTAGGCGGGTATTCATTATAGATTCTTTTGTACTTCTGAGCAGCCTTGCGCGCTTTGGTAGTGAGTACTCGGAAATCAGGACCCATTCCCGAATAGACCATGCCAATATTTGGACATACGACAGCTACTTTCTCCAGAGAACTATCGTCAATTAGAGAAGAAGCCGATTTTTTCTCTGTTGCAATAACAACGCCATTGGTTGCTAAATTGGCAAACAAAAAGACCGAACAGTTAGATTAGGAGAAACGATAATGCGTTTCGACGTAGTAAGAAAGAGATGTGCGGTTAATTAAGTATCCTTATCGATTATTACAGAGAATACAACGCTCGTTAACCTTTTATCCCTATGCTTGTAACACCCTGAGCCACTGCTTTAAGAGCATATTCGATCTGGACAAGTTTCCCTGATGGTGAGAAAGTTGTTAACGAGAAGCTAATGAATAGACCCAAAAAAATAATGTTAGCGCGCTTTGATTACGTACTATGGACCGATCATATTTATGTGTTCACAACGTTCATCCTGTTCAAATGATTGATACATACCTGTATCTGTCACTCATGTTCTAATTAAGAGTTATGTGTAAATGATACAAAAGCGAAACAATTTCCGGGACGGTTGATTTGTGAAAAGACGATTTTTTGACTATTTGGATTGCGCACGCTTCTTGCGTGGAACTGCTGTTTTGATTGGTTGGATTTGAAGATCAGTTTGTGTTACCATGTCGAAGAAAACGCGAGTTACGCATTCTATACACGACAGCTTCAACTGGGCAATAGGCAAGTCTAATCATCATTGATGACAAAGTGTATTTGTTACATATTACATCACAAGTTCTCCACGCCGTATTAATACGGGCCAAACCAAAAACTCAACATATTTGACACCCGTTCGAATTATATCTTTCTATTGTATGATTGTCCGCATACCGAATCATAGTGTAATAACTATTTATATTGACGTTTTCTTAAGAGAACTCGTATAGATTTTACTTACAAGTCAATGAGGAGCTACGAAATATAATACGTAGTAACTTGCCTGCGAAACATGAAATCAAGCTTCCGGAAATTAGTCACAAAAAGTTGGCTATGTAATTACGCTGTAGAGCGATAATAATTTGTTCCAATAAACTAAGCTTATTGTTCGTAGAGTTCTGGATACATTCGATGCTGATGAATAGCATTTCCAGGTACAGTGGGCTCGTCACATGATGATAATCGACATAAAATACGCAACGTAAATTGATAACATATAATAAATTTCATATCATTTGAATCGCTTCAATATGAATTTTGGATATCACATTAATATTTTGTGAGAGTTCTTGAATTTCTGATAACAGACCTAACTCTACGAGGCATACTTAATACTTATGTTGTAGTAAATATGTTGACAGCTATAGTGATCTGAGGATTTTTATTGTTTAACTACTGATATTAGCTGCATCTAATTTTAACATGGTACAACTGACTCTTGTCAGAGAACAGAGGTGCAATAAAGAATGGTAAAGATAAATGCAGGGAGAGGAGGGTGAGAAGCGATTTAATTTAGATGTTGATGGCAGAGACTTTAGTTCACTGTTATGACAGAATTCACTATTACTATCTTATGACATACTAATAATCTGTGTCCATTGACCTTCTCTTTAATGAGCCGTCCAAAATATAGATAAAAAAAGACATGTAAAACAACGTTGATCTTGGTACTTTAATGAAATTATCTACCCTGCTTGCGGTGCACTATCAGTTTGTTCACTACCAAATCCTTGAGAACGTAGCTTTTGAACATTGTGTTTTTCCGCATAATTAGCAAAGTTAACCATCCATGCTGAACAGAAAAAATCAATTCAATACCTCTTTTCGTACGTGAAACTTATCTAATACGCGCTCTTTACCATGATAAGACAATCAGGAATTCCCGCATGTCAGAGCAAGAATTGATATTATTATATAAATTATGGCATAAACTAGAGAAAAACATTTAATAACAGCGAGCTTGCGAATAATGATAGGTCCAATCCCGTTACCATTTTGCAGTTTTTCCTGAAACAAAAATGCATAGTAAATACGTAAAGTACGGGTTCGGAAAATTATGTTTTACTGATCGTCAATACCTTGTGTAACTACAATAATTTGCTATAAACTATAAACTGAGCAATTCAATACTCCTGTTCATGGGACCCAGCGCGAATTTCGAAAATCGGGGAGTGGCGCTCTCTCTTCGACTGCAACAATGTCGACCACCAGCTCCAGCACAAACGTGAACATACCCTTTGGGCTCCCCGAAGACGGAGTCCAAGGGCTGTTCTTGAATTTCTTCGGGCCAATAAAGACCATTATTTTCTCGATGACGGAGACATTGATAAAATCAAAGAGAATAAGGTCGCTGGCAGGACCTTGCTTAAAGCGACAGAGGAGAAGCTTATACAAGATGGATGAAGAGAGGACCTGCATCGCAAATCGTAGACCTTGTTGAGGAACTCAAGAAAATCAAGGGGGTCGTCGAGCCTGGTAAGTGGTTGAACGCGTAGTAATTCTAGCGAGTGGACGCAAAGTTGTCGGAGATTACCTTTTTCGACATTCAAGACTTTTTTTTTTCTTCATAATTACCTTCTGTTGACTTTTCCGATTGTCTCGCTGAAAGTTCCAAAACTCGTTTTATCCATTGATTAATTACGCTCCATCCATACGCATTCTCCACAACCGAGTTACCAGGGCTTAAGGGCTTGCTTGGCAAACGAACCAGCACTCCGGAGGTTGGCATCGATAGTATTAAACGGGAAAAGCTCGAAGCTGGTTAGTTTTTTATCTTCCACTCCCTCCTTTGCTATGTGTTAATCTCATTTTTTTTTCTTATGTCAGGCAGAGAGACTGTTAAGGCTGGCCTTGATGCAAGTGACCCGTCAGTGGCTGCAAAGCCAGCAGCATTTTCCAGCGAACAAAAAGCAAAAGACAATTCTTAATGGTCGCCCTTTTGAGCAGACGGGTCCACCAGTTGTCCTCTTCCATCCGGTATTCGGCGAATTCATTCGAGATATGGATGATCAAAGTCTCGTGATACCTGATAAAACCTACCAATTGACTGAGGACTTTCTTTGGGCGTCGGCAGAATTCTACGACGACGAAGATGCTCGCAAAACCACAATCAAGAAAATCCTTGGAAAAATATGGGGTCACATCGGTTCAGCAAACTTCGGAAAGCGCGATTGCTCAAGTGACGGAGTCTTAATTACTAATATCAACGAGTCAGTGGCTTACCGGATGATACTGGAGTTCAAAAACGAGGTTGGAACGGGTGGAACCGACCCGACGCTTCAAACAGCCCTATACTACCGTGGCTATAGGTCTCAGGACGATGTATGTAATCATTTACTATTGAACTGTTCATAGCTATTAATATTCCTAGTTATTTCCTTCTGCGCAGGCAAAAAGTATTCGAGATCTTTGCTGTTGCCCAACCTTTGGGGTTGCCATCGCTGGTCCATGGATGTGCATTCTTGGAGCTGTCCTTCTCGACAAAACTGTAGTGCAGCTGTTGACGCCATTCCTTCCCTTGACGGAAACACTATATGATGACAAGCATGTTGGACGCGTTTCTCGAATTCTGGTAGCGCTCGGTCGTGCGTTCGATAAGTTACAAATGTTCTACACAGGTTTAACCAGTTCTAGTGTGGATGGACAACAACGCTATTTTCCGCATTTTCGACAGTTTGTAGATTCAGCCGGCACACCCGTTGCCTTCACATACCTTTCCCAGTTGACAGAGAGGGGCGTACCAGACTGGTGTGGAAGGCAAAGACCGAACGGGATCAGCGCTTGATTGTAGTGAAGTTTACGCAAAGATACACCTGCTCTGCGCCACAATTCAACTCGCCCCTACGGTACTCTACTTTGGAAATACTGCAGCGCTTGGAAAATTCCATGTTGTGATCATGCCATATGTTGACCATCAGCCGCTGGAACCTGATGAGATCTCAAACTCGCACATCCGCAAAAATATATATGCTGATGTGCAGAATGCAATCAACTTGCTTCACAGCAACCAATACACAGTCAGCCTCGATAAGCCGGCCAACAGGAGCTGGGCTCTGATGGCCGGCTTATCGAGACGACCGGTTTATCGAGACTCACGTGATGAAAGGTATTTAGTCAAACAATTTTATTATTAATATGATTACATCATAAATATTCCTGCAGACTAGATTGTCTTAGAGAATCGACTTGTTTTTTTCTTAATTGACGTTGCAAATCTTTCATCCCTGACAACACGGAACTATTTACATTTATATCATCCGATTGCTGCAAATAATTTAATAAATTCTGTATACTTTCTAAAGCCATCTTATTTGAAACCAATGGACATTTATCTTCTTCAGTTACTTCTTCATCTTCAGTCGTCTCCTGAACAGCCTTAATAATTTCATTGTCATCAATTCCCTGAGTTGTTTCCAAAGTTGAGTCAATGTCAATGTAATCCGTTGCTGTCAAAATCTTGATCGCACAAATGTTACGTTTTGGTATTTTGATTCTACTGTGATATTAGTATGATTGTTCATATATTCTTTAATCGTATGATATAATGACATGATACTGTTCTAATCGTATGATTTAGTGACATGATACTGCTCTAATCGTATGATCTGATGATATGATACTGTCTAATCGTATGATTTATTGACATAATATAAATACTGCTCTAATTATAAAGTTATAATGTTTCAATGACATAACGTGAATTAATCATATGATTGTTGTTGGTCGGATCATACGATTTAATAGATCATTGTTAACATACGAGTTGTGAAAATTTGTGTTCCGTATTACATAAATCACGTGGTCCGGCTTATCGAGGCACATTCAACTAAGACCTGGCTAGAGCTGTTGGCCGGCTTACAGCTTATCGAGGATTTACATAGTTTGGCCGGCTTATCGAGGACTTTTAAATAGTGGGGAAAAAAATTGAAAAGTTTTGGCCGGCTTAAGCCAAAACCGGCTTATCGAGCGGCCGGCTTATCGAGGCTGACTGTGTATTAATATATGGTTATATTTATTATTATATGAAAAATTATTAAAATGGTAGTTCCACTGAATATGCACAAGCAATTCATTTTTTGAGAAAGGTTGTCAATGTGGTTGTTCAGCCAAAGTTCCAAAACTGAACTGTGTGAAGCTTTTCAATCTCTATCTAAACCAGAACAAGATGCATTTCTTATGGCACAAATTAAAGCAATTGGTGCACCAGCAAACGTCCGAAAAAGAAAATCAGATCCCATAAAAAAACTTTTTATCACTGAGATCACAACACACCTCTATGTCAAGAAACTTATTTCAATATGCTGGGCATTGGTAGAAAATATCAGAAATCATTTAATTATAATTAACAGTGGTTGGATTTCAATACTTCATGGCAATATCAAAAGACTGCCTCAATGAAAGACGTAATCGACCAAAGTGTTGCCACTGCTGTGAAAAATTATCTTGAGAATTACATGGTTTACCAAGTCCAGGAAGAAGTGTTAATAGAATAACTCAATCAGTTATTTATTTACCAACAGAAACAACTTACAAGTCTGTTTATCAAACTTTCTAGCCGGTTTGGAAGAAGACAGGCAATTTGAAATCATTGAAGTATGATGCATTCAGAAAGCTGTGGCATCAATTGACACCAGAAATTCAATGAGTCCAAGAATTGATTGGTGTGATACTTGTCAACATTATCGCAATGGTTTACAATACAGTGCTTGTCAAGAGGAAGAAGTTAAATTCATAATAGTAATACTTTCCAACAAGTTTTTTCGACTTGTATAAATTACTTACCATATACGGACTGCAAGTAATTAGAATTACCTTATCGAGATTGCGAGCATCGCAATAGTCTACAGAATACGTACAATCAGTAACTAAAAAGGCCATTATTATTAATGCTCACACTCCTTTGTCCCAGCATCCCTGAATGGTGCATGTTTACTTTGTCTCAAAACGCCCCAATTATAGTATGATCATAAGAATGCGTCATTTTGTAACTGCTTTGATAAGATTATCAAAAGCGCCGTATTGTTTACATCTTGCATGAGAACCTGTTATTGACTAACACCAACGTGAGATTTTTTTGACTTGGTCGTCCCCATCCATACTTGTGACAAATATAGACATAAAAAGCAATAAGTCTGTCACATGTTACTTACAAACTTGATAGTATTCTATTGAGCAGTTGTCATAAGATCATAATCAGGCGGGTGTTAATTATGTGTTTGCTTTGCTTGTGGGAAGTTGAAGCGAGGTCTGCTGAAATCCTGATGTTCGGAGATTGCCGATAATAATAAAGATGTCACAGTTGAGTCAGCTTTCAAGAACTTATTATTGACGAATTTAACAATGAGAGGCGAAGAAATTGTGGCCAGCTGATCTGCGAATCATACCCAGTTCTGGTCACTTGTATTGAAATGGTTAAATCGTTTACTTTTTTGCAAAAGTCGCTTAATTATTATGAATAATTACTATAAATGATATCGTACGTCTAATCAGCGTCAGGTTAATTAGCACAAAAAATTGATAACTAATGTTTCTGATGGAAAGAACAAGTATGATCACCAAAGATTGTTAAAGATTCATAGACGAAGAGCAGCTATTGTTCTAAACCAATTATTTGTTGTATATCTTATCCCTAGATTCTTGCCGCATGGCTGATATTGAACATCTAGAAATGGGGTATACCAATTTTTCGCAAAGACTGGTAACAAATACAGATCAATTTCCCCAAGAATGTTGGGAAGTTTTTAATTTATTTCAGCTTGCAAAGTGCTAAAATTACACAAATTACCAAAGTAAAGAGAAAAAAAGAATATACAAAGAAATTAATTAATTTTGAAAAGCTAATATCGTATATTATAACAATAAAGAGTCCTCTTTTGTACATTATCCATCGATTAAGGAAGGATAAAGGATTTCTTGTCCAAAGACGAATTTAGTTCAGGAAACGCTTCTAAATGTGTATCATCGCGGTAGAGGGAGAGGAATGTATCTGTACCATGACCCTCCATTGACACAAACGAAAGATCGCCACCAAAATCTAATCAGCGAAAATCAATCATTAGTCAAACACCCTTGGTCAAAATCTCACTTATCCATCAGCTTCAATATACTTACATCGTGCAATAACTCTAGCAGCCGGTAAACTCATGCCAACGCCACTGCCAAACGGTCTCTCTGCCTGTTCTTTCTCTTCCACATGCGCCTCCTCGGCTTCGTCATATACAAAGTAACTCCATGAATCATTCATAGCTGACATTGGCATACCACCTCCGCGATCAGATATTTTTATTGTTATATCCTGTGCACCTTGTGCTATTAGTATTGATATTGGCGGAACACCAACGGTTGATTTTAGCGATTGAGAGGGAGCCAATGAAGATATAAAGGAAGACAAGAGTGACCGGCGAGAAGACGATGGATCGGGAAGAGAGGAGTGTGCAAGGGAACTGTGTTGCATCGTAGTGCGAATCGACTTCTTGAGCAGTCCGTAGAGAATGCTGTGAAGGTGCTCTTCGATGTGAGTTGTTGTTACGGTCGGGTCTGTCGCAATTAATTCAATTTCGGGTGCTGGACGGCTATGATTTATACAAACAAAAGTCGATTGATTAGACACATATTAACAAACATATATGAATAGACGTTAATTCTTCTGTACCGTCATAGTCTGGCAACTGTGTGCAATTGTCCAGGTCAGTTATACTTACTTGTATAGTTGTTCGCAGTAAATTTTAGCATCTCTGACCGCTCGCTCGGCCACACTTTTCGGTGAGATCCTCGTAACCAAGTTTTTCTCGTCATGTAAAGCTAAATGTTGAGCCATGA